AGATTTATCTCTTTCGCATCTATTAAAAGTCAGTTCTAGTGTCAAAAATCAGTTGGAAATAACATGAAGAAGTTTAATGGTGAAATGTGTTCCTTTTGAATGTTTGTCACAGCTCCACCAAATCCTGGGGATCTTTTTTCACTTTGTTTTGGTGTATTTTTGCCTTGCTGCAACATGTGTTTTCAGATGATTTAGCTGTTAATCTGAGAGCATCATATAGTAGCGTGACTATTTAGACTGTGTAAAGAACCTTCAAGAAATTATTTCCAGGACAATAATTAATATACCATAATTTAAAATAATTGTTTTCCAACACTTTTCTGTGTGTGATCCTTTAGGAGTTTTTGTTAGTGGCAGATCCCTCCCTGTCTGACTTAAATCTATTGAAAGCAGACTTTCTTTTCTTCATGGTCATCCTTGAAGCAGTTCACAGAAAAACATGTATAAAGAGCAGCTGGTTGGACTCCTCTGGTGCTGTAGAGAAGGAGTCCACATAGAAGTAATTGTGGTAAAATAATACTATTAGTCAGAAAATACGGGCTCTGCACGTATTTCTTGTCCTAGCACAATTCAGTTAAGAAAGTATTTTCACAATTGTGGACTGAGTACTTAATGTCATATTTAGGGAGGTCAACAAGCAGACCGCTTTGCTTAATCTGCCCGTAGAGAAGCTTGTGCAGGTGCTAGATGAGTGCAATGGAGCTTTGGGAGGCATTGTTTTGAATCCTGTGGGATTTATTAGATGCCTTTCAATGGCTTTTCAAACAGTTGTATAGCATTCTGCACGTGGAATTTTCCTAGTGAGATCTGAAGTACTTGACAACTGGTGAAAAAAGAAGTGCCTCCTTTTAGGTTTATACATGTGATTCCTTTAAAGAAGCTGTCTGGTGCCTTTATGCACCTCCATCTTGTTAGCTGGGGGGAATGGCCAGGATATCAGAAGAGGGAGAATGGCCAGGATATCAGAAAGGCTTGCTGATGTGAAGTGACCCTGAAGCTTATTCCAGGAAGTTTATTTTCAGAAAGTGTTGATTATTCATACTTTGAGAACCCTTTAAAGTATTTATGATTCATACCAGACACTCAGTCTTAATTGACACCCATCTCATTAAGGTGACATAAGACTAAATACATTGATGCAAGGAATGTTTTGACTTTTTAGCTGATAAAGTGCTAATTATAACAACCACAACCTGTCTAGTAACAGAGCTACAGATAAACATTGAAAGGTTACTATTCCAGAGGAGTTACATCAGCTAGCTCCATGGATGAAACATCTTTTCCATGGAAGAAATTGCATCCTACATGGAAGGGATTCTCTTCTGTACTGTACAAATCCTACAATTGTCTTTACCTACCCATTTCCTTTCACTCTTCCGTTCTTGCACAGAAGTTATTCTCCTCATTTGGCTCCTGCTGTACTATAAACAATGCTATCCTTTCTTTCCCCTATCGTTCTACACCCACTTTTGAACAGCTATGGTTGTTAAGATTACAGTTCTCATAAGGCTAGAGGAGGAGGAAAAAGTGTCCCTTCAGCTTCCTTTAGGGATCTCTGCTTGTTCTTTTCTTTACATAAGTAATTTTTTCCAAAGACATATTCACGTTTGTTTTAAGACCTTTCAACAGCAACACTGCTTGCTATGTGTCTTGATGCTCTTCTGAGCTTTTTGTTTAAAAAAGCATTGAAAGTTAGTGATTAAGTTGGGAAAAGTTATTTATTCTCATTGTATACTGTGAGTAAAACCTTCAGTACCTTGCACAGGGACTGATTTGTGATGGTACAAGTGCTCCAAAATGACAGAGGCAGGGACCCTGCTCAGTTCTGTCTCCTTCCTCCCTTCTCCCCAGCACTCAGGTTTTACAGACGTGGCTGCTGACTCTGATGTGTCACGTACACTGCAGAGCCAGGCACGTGTGTCCTTCACAGGCAATGTGTGGAAAATGACAGCCATCACATTATTTCAAGTGGTACAGCAGTCATCCTTTGATGTGCCAAACTACTTTTTGCAGGCAAGAATTAGCCCTGTGTTAGACTCTTGTGGGTAGAAGGATGGATATACATGCTTTTTGTTTTCTAATAAGTGTGTGATTCGGTATAGTGTATGTGTGGAAGGGGGGGTTGGTTTTGTTTATTTCTTTTAAAAATGGATCGTGTTTGGTAGGACGTTTGAGCTATGGAGTTCAGCTCCATAAAATTCTAGTGATTATTCCAGGGCTCTCATCATGTCTTATCCAGCTTTGTCAGATATATTCTCTTTGCCAGGTCTTCTACCTGGTTTATGCTTGAATACTTAACAGGTATCATCTGTGCTTAACAGAAGTATCATCTAGGATGTTGAACAGTGCACAAGGGAGAAGTGAAATGCTCACAGTGAACAGTAATTGGGAAGTACAGCAAAGGGTGATTTGATAGTTATGAATGAGATTTCTTCATGAGATGCAGGGAAGGTTGCCCAGAATATCTCCTCCTACCTCCAGCAACTTCCAGTACTGTATCCTCTTTAGTGATGGTATTTATGATATGTATTTTTACTGCTTCAACCTAGATATCCAAACATTTCCAATTTCTAAGTAATTTAGAAAATCTGCTTGAGCCCCACTTGGCATACTCCTTAATTTAAAAGTTAATAATTTGGATACTGCACTGTCATCTTGCTCAAGCTGTTTGGAAGCTGTATGATTGCCACCTAACCAAAAAGACTATTGCACTTGCCAGAAAGGAAATTTCTGCATATTTTGCCCTCACCAGACCCTTTTGCAGGGAATGGGTGGCATCCTGGATACTGTTTCTTCAAACTGTAAATCAGTTTAAAAACAGAATTTCATTTTGCTGTTGCTGCCTTTCCAGCTGTTTGGAATGTAGTTGCAATGTGTGTCTGATCTGCAGGGATATCCGTAGGAAGCATGTGTTACTGATTGAACTTAATTGGACTTTCAGAGAATTTCTCCTTCATTGCAGACCAATGGAAAGAACATTCCTTTGCTGCTCTGAATTAACATTAGATGAGAATGGTTCATGTCATAGTTACTTATCTATTGCTGCTATTCGTAATAATATTTGCTCCACTATACTTAGGCTTTTGGCTATTTTGTGGCAATTTTTTGGCATGGAAAATCCATGATTTTCCTTAAGCAATTCCTGCTGGAATTGGCATGTGTGTCTTGCTTACTGTTCTGGGCCTTTGACTCTAAATTCTAGCAAAAACCATCCAAGACTTTATTTTTTGTAGAGGTCTGAATTTTTTTGTCCTGTTTTGTTTCTATTTCCAGAGCCATTTATTTGTGTGGCCAAGGGTAGGACATAACTTGAGTTTAAAAGCTTTTGTGCAGATAAACAATCTGTTTATCACATTATAGGAAACCTGTAGCCAGCATTTGCCCCTCATAAATTAATATGGGGTGGGGGTGAAACTGTATTTTCCATAACAGCACAGGCATTAGAGCATAAGATAGATGTTGAATAGGTCTGAACTAGAGTAAGTATAGGACAGAAATAGAAAATACAGCTCTGCCATTGTAGCGTGTCTCTTTTTTTTTTGTTATTAGAGTTCCTTTACAGGGAGGCCAGCACATCAATTTGGGCAGAACAGGGTTACTCTTCCCTCGTTACTTACAGTAAGTGACAAATTAAGAACTGAGTGACACAGGAAGACAGAGAGCCAGGCTAGGCATGCAGGCAAAATGTGTGCTGGTGAAAGGGGCTTGAGGGTGTCAGTGGTACCAGGTCATACCTGCTTGGTGTGCCTGGTGGTGTTATGGCATGGCTCTGGGTTGTACTATCCAGGGTGGTAAGGTTTATCTATTGACTCTTGAGGAAAACAAGGCTCAGAAACTGAGGACACAGAGTGAAGAGGGTGAGGTGTTCCTAGCACCAGTCCTTACTTCTGGGTGCCAGGAAGCTGTGAGGCATGTTGCTGTCTGAGAGGGAGGAAGAGATAGGAAAGCTGAAGGGCATTTTACTCCATGTAGCAATATTGTGACAGGGAGGCAAAAATTCTTCACTGACTGGGGTACCCGTAAGAACATATTAACACATATATAAGTCTGAAAAAGGACCAGTAGGTTAGAAAATCTTAGAATCCTGGAATGGTTTGGTTGTGGGGGACCTTGAAGATCACCTAGTTCTGAGCCCCTCACCATAGGCAGGGACACCTTCCACTGGGGCAGTGGCACACTCACTGTATCTGTACGTATAGGTATCCACAGGCTGTGTCCTTGGCAAGTGCTTAAGAAGGCACCTGACTAAGTAGTAAAGACCAAAGTTCTGAGGCAGATTTCTTTGTATATGAGAACTTCTGTACTAGTCCTGCCTCTCACATAACTCTGAATTAAACACAACATAGTAAAAGTATTATTAAAGCATTCATATATATCAATCAAACTGTCATTTTTTGTGACAAGCTAGGAGAATTTAGCTATTTGCAGACTTCTATGGTATTTTTAGAACGCTTAGAACCTATATTTGAAAAAAATCAAATATGAGTAGAAGTTACTCTGCATAAGTTGCATGCAGAGTGTTTTCATATTTGTCTCTATTTTAACCTGTTATGGAATCTGGTACCTTCTTGACATCAAGTGAATCTGTGTAGGATGTATTAGATCAAAACATATTCCTGTCTCCAAATGCTAACAGCAGCACATTCAGTTCTCTGCATTTCAGCAGCTAAAGTAGGTGTTGCAGAATTTTGGCTCTGCTTCTCTTTACAGAGTGATAAACACAAATGGTGCTGCCTTGGCTTTCATATAGACAAGGAGGATCTTGTCTTATAAAAGCCAATTCACAGACAAATGGTGACTCTTAGCTTTAAGAGGCTAGGCTAACAAGGCTAGTTGAACTGATAGGCTAGAAATAATTGTCCAATTTTCTTGTTTACTCCAGGGTGGTGGTTTCTTTTATTTTAAACTGAGAGAGCATTTTATTGTGGTTTTTTTTTCCCCTAACAGCTGCATTAGATTATTGTATTCTATAACACTTACTGGGTTTTTTTTTCTTTTCTAGGGGGAGTCCAGAACATACCTGTAGAGCTCCAGCTTCTCTTTCTCTGAGCTCTGCCTAAGGTATGTAGATGTATGTTATGCACTGTTATTCTCCTCTGTGTTCATCTAAATAGCATTATGGAAATTTCCAGAAAAGTGACATTCAAATTTAGTGGCAGGAGATGACTGCTTCCTTGATTTTTGAATGCAGTATTTCAAACACAATTCAAAAGTCTTCTCCAGAGAGTTACATAGAATCTGAACTAAGTTTGGGAATTCAGGTTAATGCATACAACAGTGTTCATCCTGTTTGTACACTGTTGCAAGTGGTGTTCAAGTTTAGGCAGCCTGATAATAGATGATAGGTGTTTCAGAGGCTGAAGAGCAAGAACAGAGCTATTTAATAGTAGGTGGACTCTGGTTTCAAAGTGTCTGTTAATTAATGATTCCCTATATAATAACTCCACCTCCTGAGCAAAAAACATGGCATGAAGGAGGCACCGTCTCCTTCCCTTGCCAAGTCTGGGAGTGAGTCTTCCTCACTCTCTGTAAGAATGTCTGGATTTCTAGTTTGGCACTGAATCAAGACTGTACTGTTCCTCCTCAGCAGCTTGGTACCTGAAGGAGTTTTACCAGGAGAATTGCCTGACATAAAGAAAGTGGTTTCAGCGAATGTGTAAAGTTTTGACCTAAAAATAGGATAATATGGTAAATAAAAACCTCATGTTCAAAAGTTCAAAGCTGTCTTTGCTGTCTAGTTGGTTGTATAACTTGGAAGAATTGAAATAGCTTTTGTGGTGATAATTATTAACATATGATTGCAAAGTTAAGAGTAAAGAGTTGTGTTTTTCTATAATTGTCACTTTAAAAGCCCATAATACAGTATGATATTTCTTTTTTTGAACAAATGTAAAGAACCATGTAGCCTAATGATTAATATATATCTATAAATGCAGAATTCCTGAGTAAAATCCTAATTTCTAATAAACTGTACATGTCAGCTTGACAGCGCCTGCCTAGTAACAGAAAGCAATGTATGATGAGGAACAGTGGGACTCTTTTTTGGGTTTAGTTGTATTTTTGGGTTTTTCTCTTCCTTTTGAACAGAGAGTGGGAAGTGGTTCCTTTGAACTATTGTGCCACATAAGCTTTGACTGCAATTTTTATTCCTCTCTGTACCTTCTAAGTGTACACCACCCTCTTGTAGCTGGAGCTGGTGGTGGCCCGGGTTCTCAATGAGCCATAGGCAGGGAAAGTGCGGATTGTCTCTTTCAGTGGTACAGGAAATGTGAACATTTTCTAGCTCTGCATTTGCAATGCCAGATATTCCCTGACCCTGTGAAACTCACCAATGTTTTTCTGCCTCCATAGACCCCTCTTTTCAGTGTGGAAGAAAGAACTGAGAATGAGTCGGAATTAATTTCCACTAAGTTTTCCCACATAATTCTCAGCCACCCATGGGTTTTCCTGGAAGACTGGTATACAATAGGCCTTTGTCTCCAAATGGATTTATTTATTATTTTTGAATCTAACTGCCTAGCTTGACCCCAATTTTAAAGGGCTTCTTAGTCCCCAAGGCTTACCAGTTCATCCTTGAAACAAACCTTTTGAAGACAGGACTCTACTGTGAATACACAAGGCATCATAATTTGGTTCATACCAGAATGAATGCAAATGAGTCAAATCATATCTGAGTCCAAACTGGTTACATTTTAAAGGAACTAGATACAAAGCAAAACATTTATGAAAGCAGTTTTATGGTTTCTACAGAAAGACATAGTTGTGAATTAGGTCTGGATTCCTTGACAAAACTAATTCACAGGTGAAGGGCACACTTTCAACAACAAGTTCAGAGTTCCTACAAGCTGTGAGCTCTGAATTGATCATGTAAGATTAATTGCTCAGTTTTCTATTCTTTTCATTATTTATTTGAGTACTTGAAACTGTCTTCTTTAGAGGCAGTATCAAACAACAAACAGATCTCCATCTTCTCTTTGTTTCAAATTAGTTTGCATTAAGCACAAAGGCATTGTACCACCTGTCCAGCTCACAATGCAGCAGTTAATATTATTTGAAAATAATGTTCCTCAAACAATGAGGACTTCACCAAAAGATTTACATTGTCCTGTGAAAATTCTCTCACATGTGAGCTCTGATATTTGATGAGTTGGAAAATTCATGAAAATTATTACATCTTTAAGAGAAATGTTCCTGGCACCAGTTACAGCAGGTAGAGAGCTGGGGACAGATTTTGTTGCAAGTGCTGAACATTTGCAACTGGGTAGGAATTTCTCTAAAGAGTTCAGCTTTCAGTCATACAGGGTCAGATTTTCTAAAGTGTTTCTGTTCTGATATTTTTGAAAGTCTCTGTCCCTAACTCATTTACAACAATCAACCTTTCTCCTCCATGCTCCTTCCTTTAGATCTGTAATAAACATCACTTGATGAATCATGCACAGCTTTCCTCCCAAGCAGGTCATAATTTACACCAAATCTGAACTCTGAAAATTGTGCTGGTTACAGAAAAATAGATGTTGACTAGTACTGAAATCTTGTAATGCATAATCTTGAACATGAAAGAAAAGAGAGTTATTAGCTCGTCAGTTCTACTGCCGTGCTGATGTAGCTGTGGTCCTGCAATGCACAGGGCATGCAGTGCATGTACTGCTTAGTCCAATCTCCTTTTAAAGACTGAAGTGGTGGTATATGTTTTATGCCACAGAAGAAACTGTCTAACAGATTTTGCTGCTACAGGATTTTTTCCTAATAGAGTTGTCTTTTGCTTGGACTTGCTTCTACCAGATTTAGCTATTTTTCTTTCCTAGTATACATGCACACTGCCACTTGGGAAAACCTTCTCAATTCATTTCTTGGTCAAATTCTCTTTCAAGGCTAAGACATCAAGAGTACTGTTCTTGAAACACCGTTAAAATTAACAGGAAAGAGAACCTGATCCTAGGATGCAGTGTTGGAAGAGGATGCCTGGATGGGCCCCACCCAGCACTCATTTCAGAGCCCCTACAAACACACCACAGCAGTGACTCTTTATATCCTTGGATTTCATGGCAACAGGGCACAAATTATTAAGATTATGGGATAAGACTTGTAATCACCAGTCTCACCGTTAGGAGCAATCTGATATAGAAACAACAAACCCCAAAGTTTTCCTTTCACACAAATTGTGGAAATTTGTGATGTGGTTTGTCTCTCTGAGTTTTAGCATGAGACTTGATGACACATAGGCCTGACACTCCTGCTGTCCTTGTTGCATTTTCCATGTTAGCATCACTGTTCATTGGCTCTGAGACCAAGACATCATTCATTCCCTGTTTGCTTGAGCAGTTGCTGCTTGTGTGGTGTGCTTGTGCTGATGAATCACTCAGCTCCTATTTGGTGCCTGAAGTAAAAACTATGCATCTGATCTGCCACTGGGCTTTCTATTTCACAATTACTTCTACACAGGACAGGATACAGTCAAGCCCACAGGAAAATCTTGCCAAGACCAGTGTGAAAAGAGGACAAGACCATTCTATTCTCTTCAGCCAACATTAAGGAGAGAGCGAAGATATGAAATATTTGTTTAAAATGTGACCTTGGAGGTGTGGAGATAGATAACATAGAGGAGATAAGGTACAGTGGCTGTAGCTGAATGCAGCCTCACATCCACTGTGCTTAGCTTTCCAGCTCTATCCTGTTTCAGACATGGAAAGAGTAGATAAGGCCATTTCCGGTACTACTTGTTAGTTTGTTAGACTACTTCAGCTGTTGGATCCTTTAGCTTTGAAACTGCTGTGTCACCAAAAAGCTGCATTTTGTTTTATTCCAGAAGCTTCTGACAGTCAGCAAGGATTGTATCCAAACAGTCCACTGAGTATTAGCAACGCAGCTTGTTCCAGCAAATGCATTAGTACCTATTAAACATTTACACAGCAGCATAGTTAGACAAGGATTCACAAACATAAATAAGACCTGTTCTTTGCACTGTAGAGTCTCCAATCTCAATCCTGCATAGATAATAACATAGAGAAAGCTGCTTATAGGAGGAAGGGTGAGAAATGTTTGAAGGAAATGTGATTTCTGAGACGGTGATGACTGGAGAATGGGATTTGCAGGTCTAGGAACTAACAAATCAGAAAGTGTAAAAACAGTGAAAATGGGAAATGAAGAAAGATAATGAGTTTAGGAGGTAGTAAAGAATGGAAATGAAGTTGTTAACTGTGAGATAAGCTTGAATATGAAATGGCCAGGAATGGATAGGAGGATTTTCTCTTGTCACTTTTTAACATTCAAGTGATGTGTTCGGTATGTAGATCTGATAGAAAGTGTCTTGCAGGTATTGAGGATGGGACAGAATAGAATGAAGTCTTTCTCTTGAAAAGCATGTGTATAGTTTCTTTGGTCTGTCCTGATCAAAATGCAAGTGTTCTTTATTTCCTCTTGGTCTTTGGAGCTCTACACTTTTTTTTTCCTTCTCTTGCTCCACCTGGGAAGCTTATTTTATTGTTTGGTGCTTCTAGAACTGAATTTCTTTTCCCTAAGTTAATACTAAATTCTTGAGACTTTTCACAGCTTTTCCTTTTCATTTTTAACAGCAGTATCAAGGAATTGAAAACCAAAGAGTGGTACAGATATTTTTATCTGTTGCTTGAAATGTGTTCTATAGGGAACTATAGGAAACAGTGAATAATGAGCTTCCAGCCAAATGGAATCTCAATAAATCTCTAAGTTTAGTGAACTCTATAGGAAGAGAGAAATAGTGATGTTATAACATGAGCAGCCATTGAGCAGAACTGTCTAGGGCACTAGATAGCCCAAAAGAAACCCAAACCAAAACAAAGAATACCCCAAGAAACCACAAAAACCCAACAAGCAGCAAAAAACCACCACCCTCAAAACCCCTCCTCTCTGCTCTTTAAAACCAAAACTGTCCAAGTGGAAGTTGTACATGAAGCAGTGAGATAGCTGGTGCTGAGAAAGAATTGCCATCACTTGCTACTTTCCATTGCCATCACTTGCTACTTTCCTCCTTGCTGTCTGTTGGCAGTATTGGGAGCAGCAGGACTCCCCAGCAATTTCCACAC